TGTAGTTTTTTGGTTAAGAGTTGATTTACACGGATAAATGACTCTTCATTAGATTTACAAAGGGATGCATATTTGCGTACAAAATTATTTTCGAGCATGATATGATTTGTATGATGATGTGTATGTGTGGATGATGTTTCAGTCTACATATATGCTTTACATGTATATTATTTATGATCATACATAATATGTATTTATTTTGTGTTAAAAAAACTCTAGCATGTTATTTCATACGAAAATATTGATCAGTTTTAATGGGTGGACATTTGACCAATAAATCATATGACAAGTGGCACGACCTCGTAATGGGTGTTTAGACATGTGCGGGTTGGACCATCCAGGAAATGCCAATAACAAAATGACTCATACTCGACTAGACAGTTTATGAGATATAGTTTCTTTTAGTGTTGCATGTTTTTTAGAAAAAAAAGCATATTATATTGTATTGAGTTTACAAGTTGATATGTATGATGTGAAATGATTTATTCATGCAAACCATGAACTCATTGAACTTTATAAACTTAGAATAATTAGGGGCCATTTATCAAACATTTTATCATGTCGCTTATCTTACGAGGTAAAGAACGAGAGTCTTATCCAATAAGTGAGGGTGACGAATCTTACATTTAGCACTTACTACATGAGATTGTTGCATACGATGCCATTTTGATACCACAAAATATTATTCGGAGGTTAATGAGAGGAATGACTCTTATCGGTAAACATTTTGGCATGGCCGAGCAAGAGCATATCTCACAACTCACAACTTCTTAATAGTTTTTGTAAAACATAAAATTAAAAGTTAAAGTTTCTAAAAAAAAATTACAATAAACATCAATAGATTCTTTATCTTAAGAATTTAACATCAAATATATCATAAAAAATATTATATAAATTTATTATTCTAATACAGTTTTTCAAATATGTATATAAAAATAATAATAATTCAATCCAATTGACGAAAATGAATTTGAAAATTTTCTTAAACTTTTTTTATTTTGGATAATAATGTTAAGAATCTGTTGAAATAAAATCTTAATTTTCCGTATTTTAAAAAATCAGTTGAAAATATTTTGCGTCTAATTAATGATATTGTTACATACGTACCTTCATAAGTAAATCTAGCTTTTAAAAAATATAAAAATAGAGATTTGATATTGATCGACTATAAAATCCAAGCTTTGGAAATATACTAGCAGATTGTAGTGCCTTTGAAATCCCCCTCGTTCATAAAAGGTGTGCTTTGTACGCAAGCTGGATGATGATATGGGATGGGACGGGACAAAAAAATTAGTCCCATGTTGGGTATGTCATAAGACAACAATCAAGTTGGATAACATGGGGCAGAATTTAAGTCTTTTTTTTTCCCACCAAAATAGATGAGACAAACCGGGACAAACACAAGATTACCAAATTACCCTCATCTCCTAACATCTTCGTCTTGAGCTTGCTTCTTGTAAATCTGTTTCTAAAATAAAAATGCAAAAAAAGAACTTTTAGTCTCCCAATATGAAATATCCAACTATGCATAAAAGATAAAAACAATAAAAAAAACACATAAAATCAACATTTTCAATAAAATTCAAAAACATGTCGAGAACTTGAAAATTAAAGCCGCAAAATGGATGAAAGTCTAAAGAGCCGTATACCAAACGCTTACCAAGTCACTTTTTGTAAGACCAAGAATCTTACCCGATAAGTGAGAAGACATGGATCAAGAGTCTTACCCAGTAAATAAAGATGATCAACCATCAACTTTTTGTTTCAATCATACATCATGACGAATATGGATTACAAACATGTAAAAATTGTTACTTTAACATTTCTAGCATTTTGAAATCAAACCGACCTTTCATATTAAGAACTGTATCCAATGATTTAAAAAAAGATAGATTCTACTCACTGCGATGTTTTCTTCAAGCCTATCTATCAATAATCACAATGGTGGCAGTTGTTCCCGATGCAAGACCTGGAAAAAAGTCACCCAAAAGATTAGTCTTTATGAATGGAGTGAAAATCTCCTGTCCCCAAATCTCGTATCCACCAATCATCTGAAAACACATATATCAGAGAAAGAATGAAAACATATATTTATTTAAATTTATACATGAATGGTGGGATAGAGAGGGGGTGGGTGATTTTTGTTCGTGGGGTGGTGATGAAAATTTCTTTGTGCCTTTGCTTTGGAATTGCTTATCAGTCTTGACGAAACCAGCCACCAACGCTCTAGGTAACGCCTGAAGCCATTCATCACGTCGAAGACAGAAGGTATGGCATCAAAAACATGATTTAAAAGATTATCCCGTGAATATATTGCTGCAACATTCCGTGAATATATTCCCAAAAAATAAATCTTGTGCCCGTCCTTGGTTGTTAGAAGACCATATCAAAATCCCACAATCAAATGCACTTTGAAAATTTTCACCACAACAAAATCGGCTTGATAAATATATCTAAATGTCCTAATAGACCGTTTTATATATAATACCAATTTTCTTATAGTGCTTGTTCTTGCATATTATAGTTTGATTCAATGATAACTGATTCAATTTACTTCTAGAAATCAAAAACCATGATCATGATCTAAGCAACCATAGGAGCAAAAGATCATATATCTTAAGAATCACTTACCCCAAAAACATAAAAGGTTGAAGAAGGACTCCCATAAACTCCCGGGCAATCTGTTTTCATCATGAATTAATCTTCACCTTTTCTGGTTGAGCTACAGATTTCTCCATCTTTTCACTTCTCAATTCTCTACTCATTAGTGCAGATGACGAAACAAGATCAGGGTGATTTTGATGATTCTTTGCCACTGATCCCATATTTACCAAAAACCCTTGTTTCTGGGTTACAATTTTTACAGAGATCCCCCAAATTTTCAACTTCTAATCATCATATTCAAAATTCCCAATCCAAACCTGCCTCCATGATCCCCTAAAATGCACCTCTTAGGGTCACAAGAACCCTAAAAATCTAAAGAAATGAGAATGTTGAGATAAGATCAAACCCACATGAAAAAAACTTTAAATAAAACAAATTTGACAGTAAAACCTAATGAAATGAAAAGAATATATATGAAATTTCAAGATTCGAGCATCAAGCAAAGTGCTGATTTGATTGAAAACAAAATGCAGATCAGATTACAACTGGAGAGCCGACAATTGTAGCAGGAAAAAGAATAAGAATGAAGAAATCAGGAAAAATAGGAAAAACCAACACGGAAATTAAGACTGCCAGCTATGAACTTGAAATCAATTCCCTCAATCATTTAAACCCTATTAACATCAGCTGTATTTTTAGAGACCCAAATTGCATAAATACCAAACCATTTCATATAAAACCGAACAATCCAAGCAGAAAATATTCTTAAAAAACAGATGTACCAAATTCAACACCTGGCCATTGCTTTGTTTTATCAATGACTCGTACACATATCATATAATCATACAACAGAGAGAACTCGAAAATTTTGAAGTCATTGGAATAACTTAAAGAACTCGAAAATTTTGAGATATATTTCGATTTTAATAATATTACAATAATGTTTTCTAAAAAAATATAAATATGAAAATATCATAAAAATTAAAAAAATATAAAAGTTCTTATTTTTGTATTATTTCTTTAATTCAAAATTTTTAATTATAATTTAATTTAGAGGTTGTTTGTTTTTCTCTTAATAGTTCCAATAAGAGGTAATATCTGAATCATTAAGAGGTGAATCTTGTTTGGCAAAAAACAATCTGTCTCTTAATAGTTCTAAAACCCTCTGAATAATTTTGTATCATGAATCTCTCTTAACCATTAAGAGCCCTAATTTCATTGTATATAATTACCAAATAGTTATATTTCATTTTGCATTATATCATGGAGCCTCTTAATCATTCTGACCATTTAATCATACACCAAACCATTCATTAATTGTCAAACAACCCTTTAGGTTTAACGACGAAGTAATTTGTTTTTGGTTTAATAATATAATTTCTGTAAAGATGATAACTAACTATTCAATTAGAACTTAATAATTAAAATAAGAATTTTATCTTGTAATTGATTATATTTATCTACAATTAGTTACACGAATTCAAATATAAAACTTAATAAGTTGTACTTATGTAAAATTTACTTGTATTTTTGAATTTTAAATAATATACATCAATAAACAATATTTTATATATAAATAATAATTTTTAAGAATTTTTATCAAATCTTTTATAATAGTAGAATAGATAAAATTATTTATATATTTGTACTCATTGATATCTAAACGCTATCAAAGTATCGAGGCCACGTCAGAATGAGCATGGGAATACGAAATGAACAAACAAATACTATTTGATTTTCTGGTTCTCGTCTACTACAACGTCTGTGCTCATCAAATACAACGTTTGTTCTCCTCCGTCACTTCCATCCGGCGTTAATTATCAGAACCAAAACCCTAACCTTCTCCTCCAACCTTCTGCAAAATCACAGGTCTGTTTAAATTAATGTAGCAGCTGAACTGAACAATCTTATTAAGCAAGTCTACTTGTTGATTCTTTGATCTTCTTTGTGTTAACTTGCATATCCTTATTAAACATTAACTTGTTATATTGAGATCCTATAAGTAGATGAATATACGAATCCTACCATAACTTTCTCAATCTGCTTATATACATGTTTTTCTTTCCCATTACTTGACACTCATTTTCCACCCTACAGGATTCACCTACTTGTTTTCTATTCAGTTTTCATTGCTCTGTAATTAATCTCATTGTTTCTTTTAACAAACTGCAAACCCTAACTAATTTAGGGTTAAATGCTTCTTGTTGTTCATCTTTTGTTGATTCTGTAAGACATTACCTCTTTATCTTATAAATAATGTTTTGCTCGTGATCTTTGTAATGTGAGTAAAATGAGTTCAAATATCTGCTGAGATCAAGCTATTGTGGGTAGACGATTTGCTTGCGATTTTATGCAGCTCATATGTTGTGTTGAATATATCGCAATGTAGGTTTAAGATGAGTCAGCAAAGAGTAGAGACAAGTAACAGTGATCCTGAATTTGAGGGATATAAATACAAATCCTATGAGGAACTAAGAGATGGTCGGGTCAATGTTAAGTTTGCAGAAAATATTTTTAGATGTCCTTATTGTCGTGATGGCCGAGACTATACTTATCCGGACCTCCTTAGGCATGCATCTTGGATAGCAATAAACAGCACCGAGTTAAAAGAGAAGGCCAGACATATGGGATTGGAGGAGTATTTAGAGATAGACCTTCATGTTCAACTTTTGTCAGAGGAAAAAAGCAAAAAAAGTGAAGAAATCCGCCGCTGGGGAGATTCTCATATGGCGACTGTTATGGATCTCAGAGAAGCGATGATTGTAAAATTCAATTCAGGTATTTGTTTCTAGAGTGTTTCAATAAGTTACAATTGCATGTTGAATCATATCTCTTATTCCTAAGTTGGTTAGTTTTATGTTTGCGATAGCAAATTCCTGATGTCCTTCTTGGTTAGATGTCAAAATGATGCAAGTGAAGGCAAATGAGCAGCTTAAAAAGATTACCCTTGAGTATGAACAGAGCATACTACTGCTGGAAGATCGTGAAAGGGAACTGAGAGATCGTGAAAGGAGACTGAGGACACGTGAAGCTATAAACGAAAGTGAGAAAATGGAGCTTGACAATGACAAGATAATGGTACTCAGATTTTCTAATATTCTCTATGAACATTTATTGTAGTTAGGTGAGGACATTTTGAGAAATTTATCCTAAATCTTGTGTAACTTCACAATGTTGGAAATCGGATATGTCCAATGGTACTTTGGTTTTATCCTTTGTTTTATGCATTTAATAGTTTGTTGAATAAAGACCTACTACTAAGGAACGTGCCTTTTGAATAGTAGATTAGGTTCCTAGTTTTCTGCTTTTAGTTAGCTTTCTATTTGCTTATCCTTTTCTTTGTAAGGCCTATAAAGCTTTCTCAGTAAACTATCGTGTGCTCTGTTTATTGTTCTTAACATACATCGTGTTCTATGGCATCGCATCTCATCTACTACGATGAAGGCCACCTGTCATGCCAATCTCTATTCAAGTGGTGAAAGATTTTCTCTTTGTGCAGAATGAATTATTGATTTTGGAGCAGAAGAAGGCGCATGAAAGAGTGTTGAAGTTGGCTGACGATCAGAAGGTCTGTAACAAACTTTTGTCATCATATCATGTGTGTTAGGATAAGCATATATTTGTTCTGTGTTTCTGGTTCTTTTTTGTAACTAAGTTATAAATACATAACAGAGAGAAAAACTTAAACTTCAACACCGAATCATCAAGCTTCAGAAAAATCTTGATGATAAGGGACGGTTGGAACTGGAGATCAACCGGATGAAGGGAGCCATAGAAGTAAGAGAACGCATTATTGATGAGGATTTTCATGCGAGAAAGAAGTTGGAGTTGCTTGAAGAAGATCTCAAGAAAAAAGAAGGGGAACTTGAGGGATTGGAAGAGCTTAATCAAGCCTTGATAATTAAAGAGCGATTGACCAACAGTGATTTGCAGGAAGCTCGTAAAGAATTGATTTTAGTGAGTCTGTTTTCTTTGTCATTTTGGTTTTATGCATCTATGTTTATGCTTCTATATTTACTGATATCTAAGGGGCTGTTTATCTAAACACTTACTGGGTAAGTGCTTATCGGTAAAAATCAACACTATCGTTTACTTACTGAGTAGGATTTGAGTCCACCAAAACGACATGGTAAGAGTTGTCGTCATTATCACTTACCGGGTAAGACTCACGGTCCTTGCCTTTGCTCTTATCGGGTAAGATTCTTGGTCCTTGTCATATTCATCCGATAAGATAATGTGACTTGATAAGCGCTTACTCAGGTAAGCATTTGGTAAACGGACTCTAAGAATGAAGTGATCTTATACAAGTTGACATTTTTAATAAGTCTGCCTTTGGTCATGTATCTTAATAAAATTTACCACTTACTAGGTGGATTTAGAGCGACACATGACTTTGTTAGTTATTGAAGGAAGATCGCATATATTTTGCTATGGAAAAAGATGTGTCTTATGCATAACTGATTAGGAAGATCGATTATGCACAAGAATACTTACCTCTTAATCTTTGTTTCAACAGGCGTTGAAAGATAATAATGCTCGTGCGCGCATTGGTTTGAAGAGAATGGGCGAGCTTGATGAAAAACCTTTCCTCGCTGCTGCCAAGAAATATCGTTCTGTTAAAGCCATCAAGAGTTCATCTTTGTGGGAGGAACGTCTTAGGGATCCAAGCTGGCATCCCTTTAAGATCATCACCATTAATGGGGATAGCAAGGTATGTAGGCTACCCTCTCTCTTGCACACTTGTGTACATACCGGAGTTAGTATAAGTATACCCTTTTAACTGTTGTCCAACTTACATTCTGCTTCCAATTTAGCTAATTGCTGGAGGTACCCATTTCAACTGTCATATACCTCTCCCTTCATTTTGGCTTGTATTAGTCTAAACTACTGAGCCCTTCATTTTGGCTTGTATTAGTCTAAACTACTGAGAAATGCTTCTTTCTGGCTCTTTAGTGGACATACGACGAACGAAAGTTTTACTTTGACAACCCTTGATTTTTCCACCTTTTAAAATTATATAATTCTCTCTGTATCCGATCAGAATTGCAACATCCTGCATTCAAGCATGAGCATCCGCAGCGCTAAAAATATGGAGGTTGCTAAACCGGTCCTTGAAAAATAAAACCGCTGGGAGGAACTGGTTCCCTCCCCTGGCAAAGGAAAATTTCTTGAATCGGAACTTGTTCTTTTTTTTCCAATTAACCTGGATATCCAGCCCGCTATGCAAGCCGTCTAATCTCAGGGTGACCACCTGCTTTGCACGTAATCCGGAGTCATGGCATTTGAACCTCCGTGGCTACAAGGGGATTTTTATATTTCTCATTGGATTTGAACTTACGATCTCTAGGAATTGATTCTTTTTTATTTCAGTATATTTATTGTTTTTGTTTTTAATATGAATGTTCTTCACATATTCTTTAACCAATAAATATTCTTTAAATATTTGTTGATTTTATTTTATCTAAAATTTGTTATTTTTTATTTTATTTTATACAATGTTTATTATTGTTGATTTTATTTTATTTGAAAATTTTTACTGTACAATAAATAATGAAATTTAATTAGTTTTCACATATATAAATAAGATTATAATATATGACTTTTATTATTTTAATTTTTATTTATTATAATTTAAGTTTTTATGGTTTATGTTAATATAACTTCATTTTTGTAATTTTTAGTTATTACTTTTATTATTGTAATTTTTAACTATTATATATTTTATTATTGTAGTTTTGTATTATATAATCCATGTCTAGTCCATGATTGAGGATGAAAATTTTATGAAATGAGGAATAAAGAGAAAAATGTTGTGGCAAAAAGAGATAAACCGGGGTGGCAAAGTCATGAACCTGTAAAGGGTTCATGTTTGTAGATGCTCTAAGTTGTTGGCTATAGCAAAATGCCTAAGAACTTTCAGCATACATGTTAATGATTTGCATGTAAATTTAACCAGAGCTTTTTCTAAAACATGAATGTTCCAGACTTCCAATTTTAGTTGTATATATCTGAAAATGAAAATTGTTGCCATATCTATGGTAAGATGACATGAGGGGTTGTTTACCAAGACAAATCGGATAAAAACTAACCTATGGTGGTGAATTGGTGAATCCTATCCACGATGTCATCTTCATTAATGACGAAAATAGAAATGAAGAAAGATTCTAATACTACGTACTATAAAGATAAGGTCATTTTATATCTAATCTGTAGTTACGCTTATTATATATAGTGGTTTATGTGGAGTGTGGTTCTCCAGGAGATCCTGGATGAAGAAGATGATCATATCACAAGCCTTAAGGACGAGTGTGATGAGGATGTTTGTAATGCTGTTGTGACTGCTCTGAAAGAGCTGAATGAATACAATCCAGCAGGCAGATATCCGGTTGCAGAACTTTGGCACAACAAGGAGAAAAGGAAGGCGACCTTAAAAGAGGGGTTAGAATACCTTCTGAAGCAATGGAAGAAGCATACACAACACGGAAGGGGTTGAAGACGACTGCATACCGAATCTTAGGTGAGTTTTACATATTAACATTGTTTTTGGGAGTAGAGTGTATGATTGGGGAGCCTAAACCATTGGGTTTATATTTTGTCCCTTAAGTGAGTGTTACATCTTCTTGCTGTTAATGTGCAAGTTATTTGTGTTAGATTATGGATTCAACATGAGAGATAACCTTCTCCTCTTAAGCTGAAATGATTAAAACAGTATAGTAAAATTTATTGCTAAGTTTCTGTAGGAAATCAAAATTTTGTAGGAAGTACTTTTGCTCCTTCCTTGATCTAAATTGTTTCTAAAGATGAGAAAAAAACTGAAAGTTCGGAATTTGTAAGCTGGTCTGCCATTGTGTCTACAAGTGTCGCCACTGTGGTGACAACGACCTTAGAGATTATATTGTGATCTTGTTGCCAAAATGGTGAAATGAGGAGCATGAGTTAGACCTCCCCTTTGGGTGTGTGTATAAGCCAAACCTAAGAGGTAAACATTACCACATTTTTTGCTAACTTTTAGGTTTGGTGCTTTTAACTCAATGCAAATAAGCTGATCACTTGAGTGTTAAAATAAGATCTTTGACACAGGTGGAATAATTCGAAATATGACTCGAGTGACACATAGAGGTTTGAGAAAATCTTCAATAATCACATAGAGATATGGATTTTTGTATAACATTAACTAAGGTTCAACATGCCGGTCGAGTTGATGTGTTATAAAGGTATGCAGATATCTCCATACCGGTATAACTCATATTTACGAGATCTATTTAGCGAGGTTGGCAAACCAAAAGTTTGCAGTTGTGGCCACTTTGTGACAATACCATCATCGAGAAATCTTGGGTTGCATCATTGCTGTTGTTGCCCTATGTGATGTGATTGTGCTACCTTTCTACTTGTTTTAACTTTTCTTCTTGTGATTTATAGGGCATGACATGACCAAGAAGAATTTGCTTTTGGATTGCTGCTGCCAATTTTGGGAAAGTGGAACAGCTTTTGGTTGGTCTTTTGACTAGCAGCAGCATGTGTGTACTGTTCTTAATTATCAATGCTTGAACATGACACCAATGTAAATGGTTCTTATTAAACGGTATTAATGATTCAGATTTCAGTTCACCTTTTATCAATTAGAAGTAAAATAAGACTTCTAATGTCATCACCTCTTAAAAAACAAACGCAACCTTACTCTGTAAGCGCTTATCTGTAAGATTCAACTCTACAACTTGTTTTACCAAGTAAGACCATCAAAACGACATTGTATGAAACAATTTATCTGGTAAGAGTCATCGTCCTCACTTATTGGGAAAGATTCCCGATCATTATCATCGCTTTTACAATGTAAGATTATTGGCGTATGTTATATTCATTCGATAAGGTAATACACTACTACTTTGACTTAGTAAATGCATACCAGACAAGTGTTTAGTAAACGGTCCTTTAATTACATAAAACTAGGGTGGGAACTGTGTGGTAGCGTGAGTAATTTGAGTAGTAATGTAGATTGTATATATAAATAACTGTTAGTTGTTAAATACAATCATCAACAAATTGTATCTATACGATTCATAGTAGAATTTAACTAATAGATTATATATCTATTATATAATTTTGTTATGGAATAAAGTTGTAAAATGAAATAAAATGAGTAACATTAAAGATCGTCATGTAGATAATGTATGCATTGCTTGTATAATTGGTGATGGCATTGCATGAAATTTTTTGTTTTTGGAAAGACAACATTTGACAATTTTATTAAGCAAAACAAAAGTACACCTAAATGGCAAGGTAACTACCATCCAAACGCATGCCCATTCTCCAAATAAGACTGACCCCAAATTTTATGTGGTATGCACTAATCAAAACAACTAAACATAATTGGTTAAAAAAACCTTCATACCACAAACAATAACCAAAATAAAAATTGGATTGTCCATGTTATTATTTGGGATCAACTTTTTTCAACTTAGTTAATAATTGGTATATTTATAGAAATAAAGTAATATAAAAACACATATTTTCGTCGATCAAAACCATATCTAAACTAACAAATCATCATTTCTCTGTGGATTCAAAAACTCCAACATTCTACAAAATAATCTTCACAGCTAACATCGTTGTCTAAATACAAACCTTTTAGTCCAACAAATTTCATGTAAATGTCTAAATAAAAACTTATTAGGTATAAATAGTAAGCATGCAAATAATATGAAAAAAAAATAAAAATAATCATTAATATAAAGTAGTATAGTGAATAATCATTTATTAAAGACTTAATGAATCTATAAATAACATAAACAAATATTAAATTTGCATTAATATAAATTAATAAGTTAAAGACCAATGTAAATAAGTTTTTTTAAATACTAATCAATTATTGTTGTAATTATAAATTCATAACTAAAATTAATTGATCGTTAATATAAATTAGTATGTGACAATAATAAAATACTAATTATTTTTATGAATAATATGAATGAATTGTCATTAATACACGTTATGAAGTTACAAATCAATGTTATTGAATCACGAAACTATAAACAATTCAAAAGTTTAAATTAACAATATAAATTTAACAAATTTATTATAATTAATCTTATTAAATATGGTTAAGTATAATTATTTCAACACTTAACATATGTTGATATTGATGTCAAATTATTGAACACCAAAACAAAATAAATTCTATTAGTAGATTTAATATTGTGTTTTGACAAAGACAAGCACATCAACTTAAAGAAAAGAAAAAATAATATCGGAATACAATCTTACAGCATGTGTTGCTAACGATGAGAGATTAATTTTCTAACATACATGAAGATTGAGTGTGTAGCTTTTTCTACTAAGATAGAAGGAATTTCTTTTTCCTATATCTTACCAACGTGAGATTACACCCTAAAACTTGAAGATTTATTGTCACTTTGTGAGTAACAATGTAATATCAAAATAAACAATATTCATATGTTCTTTTAGCGTTGTGGGTTACGCTCCTGAAAAAATAAACATTGAAATGATAATTAAGGTAATAATAAATTAAGGAATTAAAAAAATAGATAAATCAGGAATACATTGAAATTGAAGGAATATTGGAATGAAAGACTTATATGTAATAATAATATGTGTGTCTTGATGATAAAGTTTTGATGTTCTTCGACATGTTTAGCGGCTTTTAAATAGCTTGTTTTTGTTTGTGTCACCTGCTATAAAAAAATCAACATAAAAACCATATAGAGTCAACACAATAACAAAGATTGATCTTTTAGCAAGATAAATCTAATGAGAAAAAATGTGTTCGAGGGAGATATTGATAGGTAAGTTGTTGTATTACAAAAAGGTTAAAAAATCAATAACAAAGTCAACCAAAAATAAAAATCACTTATGTTTAAATAAGGAGAAACGAATAATTAACTTCAATAAAGAAAGGAAAAAAGGAATGTTTAGTAACATAAAAAAGAAGAAGTTAATTTACATTAATTGCAATAAAATGAATATTTAATTAAAATAAATAATGAAAAACGGAAAGTTAATAACATAAAGATATTAATGGAAAAATAAACAAAACAAGGCTAAGTAGAGGACAAAGTAGGAAAAAAAAAGAGTTTGAAGTGCTTAGAAGATGTCACATCAACATCTTTGGTTTCTTTTTTAATATATATTAGAAGGGTACTCGTGCAATGCGGCGAGATGAATCTTCATTTTAATGTTTTCTTTTTATTTTGTGTCTCTATCGATATAATACAATTTTGTGTGGTTTTGAGAAAACGATAATGTTTTTATTATTTGAATGAAACATAAATTTGAAGATAACATAAAAATTTGAAAAAAAATAAAATTGATATTAGTATCAAATTAACTATTTAATAGTTATCGTTTTTCGGTGTAACTTATTTAATTCAACTTTATTTTAATTTAATTTAGATTTATAACAAAGTAATTTATATTTGGTTTAATAATATAATTTTTATATATATAATATTAGAACTTAATGATTATCTTAATTGTATTTTAGATTTTTTATATTTAAAATGAATGTTTATCCCGTATTTGATTATGTTTATCTGCAGTTAGTCACACGAATTTAAAAATGAAGCTTTAACAGGTTGTACTTACGTAAAATTACTTATAAAATTGAATTTTAAGTAATATGCATCAATAAACAGTACGTCATGCATAAAAAATGGTTTTTAAGAATTCTTGTCAAATGTTTTATAATATAGTATAGATATTGATGATGTTTTTATGATACATCAAGTTATTGTTGATGAAAGCAAATTGAATTTTGTGTATAATACATGTGTCTATGCGTATGCGTGTATGTGGGGATAGAGGGTGTATGTAGGCTCAATTACACGCATATACAGGGGTAGAGGCCTATAGGGGCGTTTGGAGGACAGAGCTCTTACAATTTTTTTATCTTTTAGGTAGGTACAACTTAGTCGACTGTGTTAAAAATTTATTTTTTCCACTTTTTCTTAAGTATGGCCACCTCGATTAAAAGACATTTGTTCTGCTACTGCACACAAACATGTATTGATGTACAAAGTTGTGTTATCTGTGTTCGTTGTATATGTACGCAAGACCTAGGCTTTTTGGGTATGGATTAGGGTCTTTTAAACCCACTTTCTAATAAGCAAAAAGACTAGGGTCCGATTTTGGGGTGTAAAAATGGGTTTGATAAGAATTTTTGGGCTAGACTTTAACTGAACTTTGAAAAAATTACTTAAGATGATATGATTTTAGGCTTATTAGGAGTGGCTTTTTTGTACATCACTTATCACTATGCATGAATAGAGATGACCCAATTGGACCAGTCCAAGATCGATTGGAATAGGTAGCGACCGGCTATGCCCGACTGTTCGAGACTAGTTATGCTTTTTATGAAAATTTTAAAGGCCGGCCCATAACTGAGATCAATCATATTCAAATATTTCAATAATCTCAAAAAAAAAATTAAGTTATAATTATTAAAAATAATATATATATGTTTAAAAATGTGAACAAACCAGTGTATTATATGGCAAATTAACAGAAAAATAATATGTATTTTAGAAAAAGATATTACAGAAAATAAATAGTATTATTTATGGTTAAAATATGAGAAACGAAACGTCAGTATGAGCATGGGAAAAACGCGAATGGAGATGTTTTCATTTTTCAACGCTGATAACATCATTATATATTATGGAGTAAATTACGTTTTTAATCCATGTACTTTATTGAAAATGGCTACTTTCATCCTTGTAATTTTTGAATTTATGTTTTCGGTATGTAATTCATTTCTTTTTTTTTTTGTCCATTTGACTAACTTTGTCAAAAAAAAAAAAAAAAAAAAAAAAAAAAAACTGTTAAATTAAGGATGACTTTGTCTTTTTATTCTTTTTTTTTTCTTGAGTAGATAAATTTCAACATTATATTCATCATTCTTATTTGAAATGATCTTATACATTGAGAAAGTTTCAAATATAAATTATGTAATTTATAAAAATCATACAAACTAATTTTAACCGTCCATTTACTTTAATTAATATGTCGTTTTATAAACAACTGGATTGTTTCTTAATATAAAATGCTAATCATAATCAATGGACTCTAATCATTTTCCATAAATATCCTGATGATGATAAATGAATTCTCACCATTTTAATAAATATCTCAGTTAATTAGTTTTTATGGTTTGTATTTAGAATCTCTTATATTTCTCTCATATATATATATATATATATAAGAGAGAGAGAGAGTGAGAGAGAGAGAAAAAAAAAGTTGGGTTCCGATGAGAATGAAAGTTAAGATAAAAAACGTAAAAAAATGATCTTCACCATTGGATGCACATTAGAATGAGATGCACTCATTCCCGTATCAAGAGCAATTATGGGTGAGTTTGAGATTAAAAATGATCAAATGTCCAAATGTCTTCTTACAGTTCTCATCTTAACTCTTTTTTAAAATGATAAGTTTTAAACTCGTTTGATTTTTGAAATCATCTCTCTATTCTCTCTCTAAAAAGAGATTGTGTGAGTAAATTCATTTTCGAAAAATCTTAGATTTTTGAAAAATGATAAATTTGAAAAATAATGGATTTTGTGTGTTTATTTCAAAAGAAACATGATCAAAATATTCGCATTTTGAACTTGTTAAAAAAATCGTTTTTGAACCGGTTGCTTTTCAAAATAGACTAATTAATTTTCAAAAGAAACATGATCAAAATATTCGCATTTTGATTTTTTGACAGTGTGATTTTATCTTAAAAAGTTAATTTAGTCAATGCCTTACACCAATTAATTTCTATCTATCTTTCGATTTCTTTCCTCTCGTCTGGTCTTACACCCTCACAACTTATTAAAGTTTCATTTTTAAATCTTTATAACTAACTGCAGATAAACATAATTAAATACAGGATAAACATTTATTTTAAATATATAAAATCTAAATTATAATTTAGATAATCATTGACTTCTAACTGATTGTTTAATTATTATCTTTATAAAAAATTATATCATTAAACCAAAAACACGAGAACTATTAAATAGTTAATTTGATACTAATATTGATTTATTTTTAAAAATTTTATGCTATCTTCAAATTTATATTTCATTCAAAAATAAAAATATTATTCGCTTTCTCAAAACCACATAAAATCATATTATATCAATAAAGACAGAATAAAAACTAAACATTAAAGTCGATATTTATCTCGCTGAATTGCGTGAGTACCATTCTAGTTTTTACTAATGTAGAATTTAAAAAAACAAGTAGTTGACATTATCCTTGCTTCAAGGAATGATGGTTTTGAGTTTAGGGATATTATCTCAAGGTATCGTATTTTGCTCCTTCAACAAGACTTTTTACCGTATATGGGATACAAGCTAATGAGATTGCTCATTCTTTGAGTTATCTTCTTATCCCATTGTTTATGTAATACCTTGGTCCTTTAAAGTGGGTTCAACTTGCAAGTTCGGTGGCCTTTGGGTATTTTGTTTGTTGTTGAGGGGTTAACTTCTGGAAAAGTGGAGTCGTGACTCAACACCTTTTATGATCAAATTTTCTTTCATAATAAGTGGTTGGTATCAATAGAAATCATACCCGGAGTTTGGTTTTAAATCCCACTTTGTCGATTTTAGTTTCTCTCATAAATCTTGATTTCCGCCATTCTTGGGTTTGAAATCATCCTCGATGTGATCATATCGAAAGTCTTATGGGAATCTTTGATGTCGATTAGGTTAATTTAGATTGATTTGAGATGTTAAATCCTTGAATTTTTTTATGGCTAGAAGTTGTTTTGTGTTCAAATTTTGTATCATGTTCAGATATTGGTTTAGTTCACAAGTGATTGCTGATATTATGGTCAAAAGTTGATTGGGAAAAAGGCGTGGCTCATTTGGTCGAAGTAGGGGAAGAAGATGAAATAGAGGGGGGTTAGTCGCGGGAAACACTATTTTGACGTTTTTAAGTTTCTACTTTGGGTCGTTTTGGGTCTTTCAGGATATCATTTAAGTGCCTTAGAACTTGTTAAGAGATAAGGTTGCATATTATATCTCTTAATTGTGATCCATGCATAATTGATTTAGATTCAAGTGTTCGATTTTGAATTTTTATATCCGGTTAAAGCTTATATCATCTTATATTGTATCAAGGCGAGCTTTTCTATAACCTCTTTAAATGGAAATGCATATGATACCAAATGATTGCTATCATGAAGCGATATATAACTTATGCAACCTTGTTTCTATTATGGGTGAGATTCTTAACTAAATCTCATGGTTTTTATGTCTATGGCTTCATTTTTTAGTACTCTATCAAACCGAGTAGTCTCATGTCTCATATCAGGTTTACATGGTTCGATTTTATGTTTTTTTAAGTTATGGAGTTTTATTTTTAAAAACAAAACTTTAAATGAGAAAATGGAATTCATTTCTTGATTAAAGTTGTGTTCTTTATGTCAAAATGTTGGTAAAAATATTACCAAGGGTTTGGTGCAAAAAGAATGAAGAAAAAATGTCAAGAAACGAGATATTTTTCGAACTCAAAAGGCATGAAAACGAGCAACCCTGGTTGCTGTTACGCCGGGTCAATTAACCGGGTCAGTAATGTAAAAATAAGGCCCAAAACCAACGTGTTGACCCGCTTTTTGAAAATAGGACAATTTTCTGCTTAGGCCAGGATTAGAATCAAAGCCTCTCCATAGTTAACCAACGCATTAACTAAAAGATGCACCAGAATCTTTAATATATATATTAAATATTAAAGTTCCAGAATTATAATTTTCTTTATAATAATTTTCTAAAACTTTCATCAAATTTTATTTTGATTTCATAAAATGCAAATTCTTATCTAATTTGGATTATTTATCTTGTTTAATTACCAAAATGACCTTATATATAAAAATTCGTTTTTTAACAATATTTTACGTATTTGCTTTCTAAAATTACTAAAATAACCCTATGTCATGGAGACTGGTATATAAGCTTTATTTTTATATTATTATCTTTACAAAATTAACAAAATGACCCTATATATGAAAATCGGTATTTTGATAATACTTTCCATATTTGTTTTATAAAATTACCGAAATGACTCAATGTCTTGAGAATTAATATTTAAGTTATATTTTGAATATAATTTTTATGAAATTACCAAAATAAACTTACAAATTGTAAATCAATATTTTAACGATATTTTACGTATTTGTTTTATAAATTACTGAAATGACAATATGTCTTGAAATTGGTATTTAAGTTTTTGTTTTGGATATAATCCTTATAAAATTATAAAAATAAAATATTAAAACTTTTAGTAGGTTAAAATTTAAAAAATATAGTCCAAAAAGGGCACATTGCGGGTGCACGTAGAAACGATGGGATTGGTATTTTAGTGTTCAGTCCATGAACGTAACGTACCGGAGTTCAAAAGAGTAAGGACGCCACGTCAGCATAAGCATGGGAAATGGTTTATGGGAACCGGGAAGAACGCAACGCGAGATTGCTCCTGGAGGTATATTCCGGCGGTTTTCTTTTGCATCGTTGTTGTATTACTCCTTCTCTTTCTCTCTAACTCAACCCTCAAATCCCTTTTACTTCTTTTAAATCCAGCCATCAACTCTAATCTCTGATCATCAAAATCCGCTTTGATTTTGATTTTCATCCATCATTTCCGCCATTATCACAACAAAACCCTAACCATTCTGTCCTAGGGTTTTGGTTTCTTGTTTCTAAGCTATACTTCAAGCTTCTGGAAACTCTCAGGTATACTAGTCTAATCGTCGTTTTTTGTGTTTGCGGTATTTTCTATATGTTATACCCCCTGTTGTCTATGGAAGGAACACAGTTTCTTAAAATTATACATTTGTTCCTAAGAGCTATTAGTTTTCTAAGTTGACGTTTTCCATGATTTGTAACGTAGATTAAAATGTGATCACTTCTGCTGTCATATTTGTAGTTAATTTGTATATTCGTTAAAGCCTAATTGCAGCAAAACAGTCTTCTCTTCGATGATGCTTATTTGGGGGATCAATTAATGTAGGCCACTTAGTTAATACGTTTAAATTTATCGTGTTATAAGAATCCTGCACTGTTTCATGTTTGAAGTCGTGCCGAGCTCTTTTTGGTCTTTGTTCTTATCATTCCCTCCAAATTCGGGGTAAGTTTTGTTAATTTCGTAGTTACTTTCCGCCAAAATATTTACTGAACAAGCTGTGTGTGCAAGTTAATGTTACTTAATGCCCTTATTTCTGCAGCTTTAGTTGTCATCCTTGTTGGTTCTTATCGTTCATTAGTTGTCTTCTATTGAAATTCATTGCTTTATAATCTCATTGGTTCATTTAGCAAATCCTAACTAATTTGGGGTTAAGTGGTTGTTGTTGTAGTTTATCTCTTGTTGATTATGTAACGCATTAGCTTTTTTTGTCATATAAATAGTGTTTTACTGGTGATCTTTTTGTAATATGAGTGAAGTGAGTTAAAATATCTGTTTATATCAAGGAGGATTCCTGTTACAACTTACATGTGATTTTATGTGGCTCAGTTGTTGTGTTCGATATATTGCAACGAAGGTGTAGATGAATCATCGAAGAGGAGACACAAGTAGCAGCCGTTTTGAATTTGAAAGATATAAAAGCAAATCCTACAAGGAGCTGAGAAATGGTGTGGTAAACATTAGGTGTTCAGATAACATTATTAGATGTCCTTATTGTCGTGGTAGCCGAGACTATACTTACAGGGACCTTCTTAGGCATGCATCTCGAATAGCGAGAGAGTCACGAAGTGCAGGGTTAGAAGAGAAGGCCAGACATATGGGATTGGAGGAGTACTTAGAGAGGGACCTTCGTGCTAAAACTAAGTATTCCGAACCACCTAGTGAAAATACCGTTTCATGGCACAAAACTAGTGACGAGCTAATTGTTTGGCCTTGGATGGCTGTGGTTGCCAATATTCCAGTTGAATGCAAGGATGGTAAGTATTCGGGTGAAAGTGGTAAAAAACTAAAAGATGAGTGGATGAAACAAGGGTACAACCCAATCAAAGTTCATCCTCTGTGGAGCTGGCAGGGTCATTCTGGACAAGCTGTGGTTGACTTTGGGAAAGAGTGGGATGGATTTAATCATGCATTGAAGTTTGTCAACGCATTTGAGATAGACAAACATGGGAGGAAAGATTGGTACAATAGGACAAGGCAGAAAGATGATAAGTTGTATGCATGGATCGCAGGGGAGGAAGATTATAACGCGAATGGTCTTGTTGGGGAACATCTTAGAAAGAACGGGGATTTGAAGACTGTTTCTGCTATCGAAAAAGAAGAAAGTATAAAAAATTCAAAACTTCTTTCGGGTTTGAGAACTCTGATAGAGGAAAAGAGCAAAGAAAGCGAAGAGATAAAGATTCAAATAAGCCGGACGGATTCCCATATGGCGAATGTTATGGAACTGAGAGAAGTGATGATCGAGAAATTCAATACGGGTATTAGTTTTTATGGTGTTTCATAAAGTTACAGTTATATGTTGAATCATTTGTCTGTTGTTCCTAAGTTGGTTAATTTTATGCTTGCGATAGCAACTTCCTGTTTTTGTTCTTGATTAGATGTCAAAATGATGCAAATGAAGGCAAATGAGCAGCTTACAAAGATTACCATTGAGCATGAACAGAGCAAACTGCAGCTGGAAGATCGTGAAAGGAAATTGAGAGCACGTGAAGCTAAAAATGAAAGTGAGAAAATGAAGCTTGACAATGAGAAGAAAATGGTACTAATTTATTGTATTACTTATGGTTTATTACTTAACCTCCTGGATTATATGATGGTCTTGCTTGCATATTTGCCAATATATCTTTTATTTAGGTGACATTTCTCTAAATTGGTTTTCTGATATTCTCCATGAATGTTGATGTAGTTGATGTCATGTGCTGTTGCTTTGGATAATCTTTAATAAATATGTTAATCGACCATTTATCCTCATTGTGGCTGGATAAAATTTACATCTGTATTGGTCTTTTGTCTTGTTGGACCTGATCATAATGCGTCCATGCAAATTATAAGCATTTTTTCCAATTAGTCTTCTCCACAATGAGTTCCACCTACCATGATTCACTTGATTTTGTTAACATCTAGAGAAAATTTATCCATAAATCTTTACAGCTTTACCATGCATTCTATAGCATTGAATATCACCTGCTACAATGAGGGCCACCTGTTCAGTCTCCCACTATTTAACAAGTGTATTTTGAGTGCATCATCATTCTATATTACACATCACAATGTCAAAGATTAATCACTTTTAAGGAATAAATCAACTGTGGTTTTCTTGACGTCCCATGGTGAGAAACTGAGATCTCAGTTTGGGTGGTTTGAGTTACAGGTTGCTTGCTCTGTAACAGCAATGAAGTCAAATGTTGTCTATCCATATCATGGTTTGACTCTATTTTCAGAGGATACATTGCCGAACTCCTGAAAATGTAAAATGTAAATTGTTTCTGCTTTTCAATAAAAGAATTTGTTTCTGGTGCTTTGCTTTGTTTCTAGGCCTTTTGTGGTTCATGGTGGGCAGCTGCCAATAGGTCTAATGCTCATTTATGATATAATAAACTTGGCTGGTGGTCTTCTGGGGAAGTGTTTCATTTCATGTGACATGTAATATTGGTTGAGGTCATGTTTTGCAACAATCAGGAGTAGATGAAATATTACTTGCTAAATGCTAATCATGGAAGTTAGCACCAGAAGTCGATAATTGTCCAGTAGTTTGTTTTGTGAAATATATATAACTTTCTTTGACAAAGTGAACTTGTGAATTTCTGCAGTTTGTGAATTTGTTTCTATTGCAAGTGGTGAAAGATTTTTTTCTTTTTGCAGAATGAATTGGCAATTTTGGAGCAGAAGAAGGCAGGCAAAAGAGTGTTGAAGTTGGCTGAGGATCAGAAGGTTTGTAACAAACTTTTCTCCTAAATCATGTGTGCTAGGAAAAGCATGTTTTCATTTCATGTTTCTGGGTTTTTATATATTTAAATTATCAATATGTAACAGAGAGAAAAAGAAAAACTCCACCACCGTATCATCGAGCTTCAGAAAAATCTTGATGATAAGCAACGATTGGAACTGGAGATCAACCAAATGAAGGGAGCTATAGAAGTGAGAAAACACATGACAGACGAGGATGTTGATGCGAAGAAGAAGTTGGAGTCGCTTAAAGAAGATCTCAAGGACAAAGAAGAGGAACTTGAGAGCTTGGAAGATCTTAATCAAGCCTTGATAATTAAAGAAAGATTGAGCAACGATGAATTGCAGGAAGCTCGTAAAGAGCTGATTTCTGTGAGTCTGTTTTCGTCCGGTCATTTTTATGTTATGCATCTATAATTATGTTTATGAATTTACTAATGCCTGCTAGAATGAAGTGATCTTAGGGGCTGTTTGGTAAAGGCTTAATGGGCTGTATAAGGTTATAGCTTATTCAGTAATCTATACAAAGTTGTTCGGAAGTGGCTTAATGGCTAAAAAAACAGCTTATTTGGTCAGCCCAAAAAATAGTCATATAGACGCAGCCGTTTATCAGGTCATTTATTTCCCTTTTACCCTTTTACTCCTCCCCGCCCCCCCTCCCCCTTTCATCTTCATACTCAATCCAGACAAGGATGATGGCATCACATAAAGCTCTATTTTAATACTCCCTCCATCAATCTGCACCTCTTGCTGTCTCCATCGATCAAAACTGGGTTTGGGCATCTATTGAAAACTGTTCCGTCTTTATTTTAGGATTGTTTTTCTTCTTGCTTCAGTTTTTTTCAAGAAATGGGGGGTTTCCCCTCTATTAAGAAGGTTTGCAGAGAAACAAACTATTGGGTGGGAGGATGATTGTAGTCAATCCAAAGATATGTACAGAATCTGCCTTCTTCCTTTTTTTCCTTCGCATTTTCATCCATTCACTGTCAAAAAAAAAAAAAAGGAAACAACGGTGGGGTTGGATATTTTTCATCCGTTCACCGTCAAAGAGAGAAAATCAAGCATTAGTTGGGTTGGATGTTTACTCACCATCAAAAGAGATGCAAATCAAGCAATGGTGGGGTTGGATATTTTTTTTTTTGATTTATATTCTAGGTTTCTCCCCCTTTGTTCTTTTTCCTGTAAATAGTTGCTCCTCCTCTCTGAAATCTTGTTCCTTGCTATTGGGTTCTTGCATTAACAAATGGTGGGATTGTTATTGGTTCTTGTTTCTTCTTTTGGTGATCCTTTGTTATCATTGAAGCCGTTCTTTTTTGTTGTTTATTGTATATGACAAATTGGAGGAACAAGCACCATTGTTGTCTAATATAATATAAAAGTGCACTGTTAAAAAAATAAGTAATGAGGGAAAATTTATCATTTACATCATTGAGAATTTATTTAGTGCAACAACCGAACAACAATTTAACATAATCCATGCAGACAATTAAATTCCTACAGACAGCTTCGTCTATACAGAACTTAATGAAAAAACAACTGAACAACCCCTTATAATAGTTGGGCTTTCCAATAAGTCTGACTTTGTTTATGCATCTTAGTAAAATGTAACACTTATTGTTTAGTATATCTGTCTACCTCAGATGGATGTAATTAGAGTGACACAGGTGTTAGTTATTGAAGATCCCATATATATTTTGTTATGGAAACAGATAAGCCTTATGTGTAACTAATTAGGAGTATGGGTTAACCACAAACCACTATATGTAATTCCTTCGACTTAAAAGTAATGGATTAGTTTTACCATCTTCCTCTTCCAAGAATACTTACCTCTTAATCATTGTTTCAACAGGGGTTGAAAGATAATACTGCTCGTGCTCACATTGGTGTGAAGAGAATGGGCGAGCTTGATGTAAAACCTTTCCTCATTGCTGCCAAGAAAAATCGTTCTGTTAAAGGAGGAGCAGATAATGCCATCAAGTTGGCATCTTTGTGGGAGGAACGGCTGAGGGATCCAAGCTGGCATCCCTTTAAGATCACCACAACTAATGGGAATAGCAAGGTACGTATTTTGCTGATCGTACATACCTTCTCCCTTGCACATGTGGGTACATTGATGCATAGCTGAATACACCCCCTTTTAACTGTGGTTCAACTTTCAATTCTGCATGATTCTTTTTCTGCTTTACTACTCCTATAACATAAAGATGAAACTGTTGGCATTCTCTCTGTGAAATGGAGTAATAAATTGCATATAGTGCTTTGGTTAATCATGTCATTTCTTCGACCAATTTTAATCAACTTATCTATAACATAAAGATGAAACTATTAACATTCTCTCTGTGAAATTGTTATTTTTGTCGTCCTAACTTGATCATTTATGTTAATTGATTAAAACTTCAACAAAAATGATGTGGTTGTGAGAGCTTAAGTTGTGGTTGATAAACCTTTTAGTTCGAGTAGGTATTGGAGAAGTAGGAAAATGTAGTGACCAATTTTATCCATTTTCTGGGATCACCTAAAGTAAACAATAGTTAATAGTCTTTCCGTCAGTTTCTTGCTATATATAGTTATGTGGAATGTGGTTCTCCAGGAGATCCTGAATGAAGAAGATGAACACGTTGCAAGCCTTAAGGAAGAATGTGATGAGGATGTTTGTAATGCTGTTGTGACTGCTCTGAAAGAGCTGAATGAATACAATCCAAGCGGCAGATATCCATTGGCAGAGCTTTGGAACAACAAGGAGAAAAGGAAAGCGACCTTAAAAGAGGGGGTCGAGTACATACTGAAGCAATGGAAGACCCGTAAAGGGAAACATTAGGGGTTGAAGACCGATCTTAGGTATTAATCTCACATATCCTTTTGCTGTTTGTTAATATATATGGAGACATTAGGTTATCAAGTTTAAGCTTTCATACTCTTTAGCAAAACAGATAAAAGACATTCCTAGTGTATTTTCATACCCTTTTTCATTGCAGAGTGCAAGAAAATACTTATTCATATCGATCGTGTCGTGATTTTAATCAAATTACCAGACATAAACATCGATTTTGTTCAATATTTGATATTAAAATGAACATTTTAAAACATAAATCTTTAAATTTGGTATTATTTATTTTCTATGATATATATATATATATATATATATATATTTATTTATATGTCATATCGTCCATCTTTTACACACACAAAGTTAATGAAAAAGAGGAAAAGTGGGAAAGGTTTGGCCATTTTTGGTTCTCTGGCAATTGAAGCAAAACAACCCCTTTTATTGCTCTCCCGTGTTTCCAACTTTTGTTTTCACACTTTTAATGTTTATTTATTTTCTTAAATTACTTATTTTATTTATAGTTTTCTTTCATCTTTAAATTCCTCAAAACTCGTCTTTTGGTCGGTTTTAAAATACGCTACAATCCAAAATTTGCATTTTCCATATAAAACCTTACTTTTTTAATTCTAGAATAAACTTAACATATAAATATATACTTTATAGATTAACATTACAATTCAAAGTATTTACGTAAATATCCAAACTTAAACGTATAAAGCTCTCATTTTAACGGTTATGTAATTTATGCCATAGAAAATGAAGGATTTGCCAGAGATAGAAATGAAGATGTAATGAGTTACTTTCAAAAAAAGATGAAAACTTTGTTTTTGTTTTATTTTACAATATGTTATTTAAATATGTGCGTTGTAAGTGGGATCTACTACTACTACTCAGTCTCCTACTGTCAACATTTTTTTTGAAAATTGCCAGTGAGAAATGAAGATGTATGTTTTATTTTTTAACATCTTTTTCACATACAATTCTTATTTTTAGTTAGATTTTGACACTTAATCTTTATGGAAGACTGAACTCTATCGATAAGGTGAATAAATTGTGATGATTTCCAACATCTTGCATGCTACTTCTAGTCCTTTTGGTGGTTGTGAAAAGCACTTGTACCAAGAGAATTGAATTCATTTGGAGCATGGAGCATAAGGCCAAATGGACATATCCCACCCTCTTATCAATGTACTATATTTTTAAGTTTTTTTCTATTGTAATTAAGGTCAATCATATGTGAATTAAACGATCGGTCTCTCTATATGACCTTTTAATTATTCATAAGAATTGCATGACCTAAAAGTACATCATTCCAAATTAACATTGAAAATAATATTTCTCATTTTATTATCAAGATCACAAATAATTTGTAACAACTCATTCACGGGGATAAAAAAAATATAAGTTTTAAGCTTCTTATAAGTCTCAAATTATGTGTAACTTTGACAATGATTTTAAGTTAGATTCAAAGTTATCGGATCACATTGTTGCTTATACTTTGAGAGGTTACAAAGTTTATTGAAAATGACATAATGGACAAGACGCACATACAACAATTTAATATTATTGAAAATGCATAATTTTACATGTCCTTTATCCATTAAAACCATTCACACCAACGACATCTCCAAGACTCCAACTCAACTACTAAAAACATAAAAAATAATGGGTCCTTTCAACAATAAAAAAAAAAAAAAAAAAAAAAACCCCAATTTCAACCACATACTAAAATAAAACAGTAAAAACAATTTTAATAATAAAATAATATATGTACTTATTATTATACTATTTTATTAGTGTAATAAACTATTAATCTATATATAATCAGAAAAGTTGAATGATATATTAATAAATAAATAATAATAATAATAATAATAATAATAATAATTAGATATTAAACAAGATAACTAAAAGTAGCATCACATATTGTATTATTGATCTTGGATGCCATTTACCTTTCTAAATTTTTCTCTCACCCAATGATTACATGATCTTAATTATAACCCCTATTATTTTTTTAAACATCACATTGTCCGACTTGTTTCGTCTTTATAATTACTTCAATAAAAAAAACATCTTAAAAAATATGAATATGATAAAGTCTTCTCAACAGTTTACGGCAACTTACCTGAACTCCAACTCATCTCAAGAGCCCGAAAATCAATTAGAAAAATTCTCGACAACCTTTTAAAACTCGAACTAGTAACCTATAAAAAGGAGTCCTAATAACCGTCTTAATACCACTTGAACTAACCCAAAGCCGTTCTTGCCATTTTGATTATCTTTAGTGGGTTGATGACCAATTTTACCCGGAAATAATTTATAATGTAGACCTTGATTTTCTAGAGATTTTACATTCACACCCCTGTTCTAAGAACCAAAACGCGGTAACTTTTTTTAACTGTTTTTTGTATCATATACTAAGGAGTTGTTTATTTACCTCTTAATAGTTCCATTAAAAAACAGCATCTGAATCATTAAGAGATGAATCTTGTTTGACAAAAAAAAAAAATCTATCTCTTAATGGTTCCAAAAAAATCTATCTCTTAATGGTTTGAAAGACGAATGAGATTAGAACAAATTGCATAGAATATTTATATATAAAAAATCATCCTACTTTGCAAATCGCAAAGTTTCACATTTTTACAAGAATGATAATTTGCTTGAGGTAAAATACCAAATGGGCGATGATTTCAAAAGTCAATCGCTCATGGGAACAAATTCTAGAAGACAACCGTGTCCGTCGTTTACACGCGGAAGTTTTTCCCCATGAAGGTTTGGCCGAACTGCCAATTGGCAGGGACAATGTTCCAGGAAGTGGAGGTGCGTCGATCACTGCCTCTGACCCTGAAGGAAAGCGATTGACCGGTGAGGACAGCGTTTGATTGCCAATTTTGACCCCAGTTACGACTCATGCTCAGCCAATTCGTCTTTGTCCCTTTTACCCATGCCTTCTGAATGTCACCCGCACCCGCAACATTGCTGATCAACACCAAATTGAAGTAACGGAAACCGTTAATTGTGAACCTGATCCCCCCTGCCTTCCTGCAAGGGACCCTGCGGTAACAAGCCAGAAAACACAAAGGTCAGTTTTGTCAACTCGGAATACTAGAGGGTGTTCTTTATGATGTATGGTATCTTTAAGGGGCATTTTAGTCAAATCAGGATAAAAATAAATAAATATATTCTCTATGTCAAACCGTTGCAGAATAAAGATCTCATTAAAGGCTAATCATAAAAACTGAAAAAAAGCGGGAGTGTAAGTGGATACCGGCGGTAAGAGACGGGGACGATTCCGGCACGATATTGGGCGATTTTGAGAAACATGGGCATGGCGAGGTCGAAGTGGGTACGAGGAGGGTTACACCAACCGCCATTGTCATTTGGTAAGGCGAAATTCGGGGGGCAGAAGTTGGTGGCGGTGATGAAGATGGAGGGGCTTCCGGCGTGGCACCACCCCGGGTCATTGGCGCACTTGATTTCATAGCAAGCGCCACAACTTAGGCCGTTATTAAACAACGCCGTGCTCAGCGCCGCCGTGTTCACTCCGTATCCTTGGCTGTATAAATTCCCATAACCACAAGCACCGCCTGTAAAAATAAAACCAAAATAAGCTCAATAATATGCACCGGAGGAATAAGTGACTACCACAAGGAATCCGGCAACATACCCATTGTACCGGAGGCATCACTGCCACCGTAGAACGTAGCATGAGCACCTTGCCAAGAGCCGCCGGCGTAGTTTCCGGGGATTCTGGCTTCGGCCACGGACAACACAGAGACGAGGAGGAAGACAATGCCGCCGACGGTTGCCATGGTTCAGTGTGATGTATGAATCTCTAGAGAGAGAGAGGGAGGCGGATGGAGGGAAAGGGCAGTGGGTGTAGGGTACTTATGGATGTCAGGAGGGTAATGATGTAATTTGATTTTTTTTAAGAGTAAATTACGTTTTTCGTCCCTGTGATTTGTTACAAATTGCGGATTTTGTCCTTGTGGTTTAGATATTATGGTTTTTATCCTCATAGTTTGTAAATCATTTTTATTTTCGTCTTTATAATTTTTTTATTTTTTCAGTTCTTATGGTTATACTTTTTTACTATTTTGGTCTTTAAACTTAAAAAAGTAAGAATTAGTTCAAAAGTGAAAATATCAATAAATTATAAATTATAAGGACAAAAATAATAATTTCTAAACCATAAAAAAATCATAATTTTTAACAAGGACTAAAAATATAATTTACTCAATTTTAAATGCAGACTGGTTTTGCGGGTATAAATTAGGTTTAAAGACTAGAAATGGATAAACAATAAGAGATTGCGTGGGGCCGTTTTAAAAGTTGCTTGTTCACATTGTTGGTTGTGACCCCTTGGATTTATTTTCATGTTAACATTTTATATATATAATATTTTCATGTTAACATTTATTAACATTTTTCTAACTTTTATGTTTTTACTTAACTTTCAGATGCGATATATACACGTGATTGAGTTTCAGTAAGAACGAGAGTTAAGATGAGAAATATAAAAATGAATTTTCACTATTGAATACATATTAAGATGAGATGCACTAGATCAATCTCAATATCAAACGTGATTCATGGTGGGGTTGAGATTAAAGTTGATCAAAGACCAAGATTCTTTCGTATACTTCTCACCTTAACTCTCATTCTCACATGATCCTTCACCTATATATATGTATGTTTATATATAAGAAGGATTACGTTAGAATATGAGTTTAGGTGAGAAACGTAAGAAGTGATATAGACTTTTTAATCAATTTTGATTTCACTCCAACTCCATAAATTACGCTTGATACAAGAATTGATCTAATGAATCTCATTAGTGTTAATCTTCAATTAAGATTGATACAAGAGTGGAAATCTCGTCTTATCGTTCTCACCATAACTTCTATTCTCACCATCAACCCTATATATATATATATATATATATATATATATGTATGTATGTATATATATGTATGTTTGTATGTATGTATGTATGTATGTATGTATATATATAAGGGTTAAGAACCCATAAAACTATGATAACCTTGAACATTAATACATCATGTGATATTTCATATGATTTTTTTTCATTTAAGACTGAAAATAAAAATATTGATCAACATATATTTGTATTCATAATGTGAATTTTTTAGCTTATTTGTTAAACAAAAGTTACTAGTAAACAAATTTCACTTTGTAAATCGAATACATACGATACAAACACATTATGAAACAAATATACGTACATTAATATATTGCAGGTTAGTCTTTGATTAAAAATCATATAAAACAATATATTGAGATAATGTTTAATACAATTATCACAAATACAAAGTTCTCAAATGTGTGTATATATATATATATATATATATATATATGTGTGTGTGTGTGTGTGTGTGTGTGTGTATGTATGCATATATGTATGTGTATGTATACACAAAACTTGTTTTTTTTAATGTGTATACGTATAATATTTCCATTTTATCTTCATTTATATATATCATGGCAAGTGCCTTAAATTATGCAAAAAAATGTACAAAATATGATTATCCCGTCAAAAGACATACATGTATTTTTGTAACCGTACCTCTTTAATTTTAAAGTTACATATTTCTTGGTTAACCCGCACATTAAAAATATCAAATAAAAATATATAAGATGTGTATTTAAAATGGAGACAATGAATTAAATGAAAATGTAGGTTTAAATGTATGAGTTTGAAAAGTCAAAGCGTGATGATCGGGCGTGATTAAAGGGTTGTGGAACATGAGATGGATACAACCATATAACTATTACTCAACTTTTCTTATATTTAATTTAATTTAATTTAAAACCCACAAACTTTTACAAAAGGCTACATATAATATATCTTTTGGGCTAATTTCTTTTTGGCATTTAATTAATTAATTAATATATATCTTCAATTATTTTATAACCATCAATCCAATTTATACGTTCTTGTTAATAAGAAAATCCAATCTCATGCGTGAATCGAATTAATGGAATTATCATAGGATACTTATTACAATGAATAAATGACGTGATTGTATCGGTTTAATTAAAACCATAACTTTTGCGATTTATTAGCATAAATGACACATCATTTATTCGCCGTGCAGGTGTTTTATTGCCTTGCGATCATCATGTTCTGGTTTCGGACAATCATTTATTCTCTTCCATCTTGATTGCTTTGACATGTTTCTCTTTTCATCTACTTTGTCTTAGAGGTTGTTTATCAAATAATCACCCAGTAAATGTTTACCAAGTCATATTACCTAACCTGATAAATATCGTAAAGACTGATAATGTTATTCAGCAAGAACGATGACAAAGATCAAGAGTTTGACCTGGTTAACACTTATCAGGTAAATTATTTCATATGATGTCGTTTGATAAACTAAAATTTTATTAGGTAAAGTAAGTGTAAGTGTTATATTTTACCAATAAACGCTTTATTGGATAAGTGATTGGAAAAATGGTCATTTAATAAACTTTTAGTACATGTGATTTTTGATATAAAATACGAAACAAAATTATAAAAACTATTTTTTTTAATGAAAATATGCAATTAACGTTTTAACTTAATATCTAGTTTAATAAAAGTTACTTCAAAATATTTTTCAAACAAGATAAATTCTAATAAATTAATATAACACATGTAAGATTGCACAAACCCGTGTGTATGTTAGGGGACGTTTGGCTAGTTTTCCATTAAGTCATGTACGGATAAAGCAATAAGTGCGGATTAATCTATCTGTACGGATTAATCTATCTGTAGATATTGTAAAGGTTTTGGTTCGGGGCTGTTGTTTCATAGATGGAAGTAGCATGTTTGAAATTTTTTGCTTTATGCATGAAGCTCTTCTTTAAAAACTTACTGCATAAGTCACTTTCTATATCATTGAACCACTACCAAACAATTATATGTAGCTAACCGAATAAACTATACACCAATTATATTAATTAAACTACTAATAACTAAATCCTTAATCATATCTAATTATAAAAATATTATTTATTAAAATCAATATATTCATTTTTTTATGTATATAATAATTATATACAGCAAATAAACTCACACACCCTCCTCACCTTTGGTGAGATTTGAACCCTTGACCTCCTAGAAGGCCAAGGACTCAAAATCAATATATTCATGATGTTTGATAAGATTTCATAATACAAAATCAACATTTCCACTTGAAATGTCGTTTGTCTTATCATTCATTTGAAGTAACCAAATCTCCATGATGTAGAACGAAATCAAAGAAAGGGCAAATGCGTAACTTAATTTTTGAAAATAAAATACTTGTTTTACTCCAAAATTCACCATCAAATGTTCTTGAAATAGTTAGATAACAAAATACAATTATCATAATTAAGTATTACTTTTGTTCATTTTTAAAATGTGAAATTCCAACTTTAGCCTCTTGTGACAAATCTTGATAATGCAATGATGATGGCTTTGCTCTCCTTTCTAACACTATAGAAAGAGTAAAAGGAGATTGTGTGGTTATTTTGTCACATCAAAGTGTAAAAAATTACTTTGTTCTTCAATACACCCCCATGTGCACTTTGGCCAAAAGTTATAACCATAAAGACACCTTACCCTTTTTGCTTCAAATTAAAGTCATACCCCCACAAGAACACAAGGGTAAAAAGGTAACTTACAATCATAACAAGCCAAGATTTTAAACTATAAGCAATTAGTTAATTGTTTATAAGTGAAAATTTATATATGGAGATAAAGGTCTTAAACACAAAAAATGAGCCAATGTTGGTTGCAATGACCGTTCATAACTTCATATGTTGATAGTAATATTACAATCATAAATAACTGCTTCATATACTGAAAAGAATTTAAAATTAAGGAGGAAGATGATGACATGTTATCATTCTGTTAATTATGTGTTGTAAATACGTATTGGAAATTAACTCGTAATTTCTCAAAACTCTAGCCAAATTCTTAATTATTAAAGGTGACATAAAATAAACCCTTTATTAATTAATTTGTTTAACATCTTGGGTTTAAAAGTTTTTAACTGGGTTATATCAAACGTTGATTATCAGTAACACCAACTAATTCAACACGGTACATGTTCCTGTAAGAACCATATGTGAACAGATGTTTTAGAGTTGACTTAGTAGTTGAAACTGGTCAAGAGATTTAAACCTATTTTCTATATAATTTAAACTTAAACCTGTCATGTATTTGAATAAAATAACTGAATTGAATTACAGAGAGAAGGTAAAAATAGGTTATATATATCATTGAGAATGACTTGTTCAAAACATAATAATCAAGATGTTTTGTTGGAACAAAAAGAGACGAATGGGCACATGGCACGTGGGATAACCAACGCCATCCATGACGTAAGACTGAGTAACTAGGGTTTGACTTTTGGTCAAAACTAAAATCATTCTCTTCTGTCTTCATGCATCCACAATTTTTTAGCCCACGGTATCCTACCAATTTTATCAACTATTTTGAAATATTTTTATTGGTAATTAATATATTGTTTTTTTAAAACATAAAAAATACCGTATTATATCATAAATGAAACGATTGATGCTAAAAACAACGGTAACAAGTTAATCACTTATACCGATCTCACCCGTATCTCTTGGAGGACGGAAAGAATGGCCTTTTAAGTGTGATTTTTGGTCAGTATCTTTAAAGGACGGTATTTTGCCTTCTTTTCGAAAAGATATTCAACTTTATAAAGTCGTATTTATACTATATTATAAAGTATTTGACAAAAACTCTTAAAAACCACGTTTTATGCATAAAGTACTGTTTATTAATGCATGTTAC